TTGAAATTATTAAGTACATAGTAATTACATTTTTACAAGATAATATACATTTTTGCTAGGGTCCCACCCTAGGGGCAGGGTCCGTTAAGACCTGTGGCTGTGATCCACTGAAGAAATTAGAAACAAGTAGAGAAAGACAAGACACACAGAATGGAATTTTCAAAGCTGGGAACACGGGAGACCACTGCCTGTTTGTGGAGTTTGCAGGGTGGCTCTGAGTGCTGTTTGTTCCACTCAGCTTTTTTTTTGAGACAGAGCCTCAAGCTGTCACCCTGGGTAGAGTGCTCTGAAATCACAGCTCACAGCAACCTCCAACTCCTGGGCTCAAGAGATTCTCCTGCCTTCACCTCCCAAGTGCTGGGATTACAGGCACCTGCCAAAACACCCAGCTATTTTTTGGTTGCAGCCATCATGTTGTTTGGCAGGCCCAGGCTGGATGTGAACCAGCCAGCTCAGGTGTATGTGACTGGAGCCTTAGCCACTCGAGCCACAGGTGCCAAGCCTCCACTAAGCTTTTATTGAAGGCTATTTGCTCATTAGCCCAGAGGGTAAGCTGAGGAAGGGAACAAAGACATCAGCAGTTTCTCTGGGTAAGCCTATCAGCTTCTATTGTTTACAATAATTAACTTTGAGGGTCTGAGCAGTCTTGAGAAGTCCAGAACCTGAGTCTTGTATAGGGGCAGCCTTCTGTCTGTGGTCATACACACAGATTCTTAGGAGTGTGTTAATCTCTACTCGTTCACTATGGAGTAAAACCCCACTGGCTTCAATCTTCTCTGAAGAATCAGTAGGAAAGAGTAATTTTCTTCTTATCACCACCAGAGAGGCACCTTCCTCTGTGATAAGGGATATAAGCCCTCTTTCCCGTATTTCAGGGCTCGAGCTGTTCCCTTGATTTCTGCCTCAGCCAAAACAAAATCTCCATAATAGGTATTTACTTTAATTGTTAACTAGGGAGTGGATGGCCTAGTTAATGTTTCCTGCTAGGCCTTGCACATAGCTTCCTCTGTGGCCATCATTTCTTCAGATTGCTTATTTCTTCAAAGTCCTTACAGACCCACCAGGGGTGACTGCAAGCTGTTCTCCAACAGGCCAGGCTTCTAGGAAAAGCAGGAAACTTGCTCAGATAAGAAATTTAGCAATGGCTGGTCTAAAAGTAAACTAGCTGACTTTCTTTTTTTCTGTCTTGCTTAGCTTATTCTTTTTTATTTTTCCCTTTTTCTGGGTGTGTTTTCCTTTGCCAAGAATGGGGTCTTCAGTCCCTATTCTGCTTTCATATTTTTAAATATGTCTAATTAAAGTTTCTTAAATACAGCCTAATTTGATTACAGTTAAATTAATGTGGCCTTCCAACACATTAAAAAGTTCTCCACCCCAATCTAAAAGTGTTGTATCACATATAAATTAATTTGGCACAGATAATTAAATAAGAGATATTAATAAACAATGTTATTTATGAATACTCGTTATATCTAGGTATGTTACATGGACTACTTCACTTAATTTTTCAAATCAGTCATGCAGTAAACTATGACCTTAATTTTTAAGGAAACTTAGGCTTAGTCAAGTTTGATAACTACCCAAATGAGTACAATAAAGCTCAGATGCAAATCCATGTTACCAACACATAAAATAGTGAGATTAACTACAATACTACACACCTTGCAAGTCTTCTCCTACACAAATGAAAAACATGCTAAAAACAAAACAATCAACAAATTTTATGACTGCTCAACTACCCAAAATCTACTTCACTATATTATTATCTACTATACAACCAGATTATTCACAAAAAACATACATCAAAGGGGCAGTGCCTGTGGCTCAAAGGAGTAAGGTGCTGGCCCCATATGCTAGAGGTGGCAGGTTCAAACCCATCCCTAGCCAAAAACTGCAAAAAAATAAAAAAAAATACATCAAGATATCACCAAAATGCTTCCCTTAAATGAAGTGATATTTCCTTGAACAACATTAATCCGCCAGGTTCCCTCAAAATCTTAAATTCTACAATTTAGTATGTTATACTGATCTCAATTGGTCAATGTAATGCTATAGAAAAGAATACATGAGATTATTTTAGCAATGTTTGAAGTAGCACAAAATATTCGATTTCTTTCAAAAAAGATCAAAGCTGTTCAGAGGTATCAGATTTCATTGTAACTTACATAAATGTAAATTTTCCAAAGTATCAGTATCTCTGCATACATGGTTTTAACAGGTATCTATAAATTCTGATTTTAGCCACATAATAAGTCACTACAAAGCTGGATATTCAGGAAACCTATCAGTGGTTACTGGAAATATGAACTGACAATTTCTAGGGAAAACGTAATAATAATACTAATAGGCATTATTTTAATTAGTGTAATAAAATAAAAATTATATCTAATAAAACATAATACCCTTGCTTCTAAGGGACTTATGTAGTATGAGAGACATAAAACCCAGTAATTACAATACAGAAATATAAGCATGTGGGATATACAGAAAGTTATATAGAAATACTGTCTTGGGACCTGGTATTGAATATAATTATAGGTTAAAAAATATAACTAAAATTTATAAAATAGAAAAGAATGATTTCTAACCACTGTCCACAGTTTGTTTGTCTTTGTTTTCTTTTTTTTTTTTTGATAGCAGATAATAACTATGATCCAAAGTAAAGGGATGTTTAAGAACTCTCCTGTCTCAGCTGTTTCAATAATCCTCGGTCAAATCAGAGGATATTTGGGGGAGCATCTTTGACAATAGCTGGGTCACTAACGGTCTAAAAGTCATTCGCATAGTTTCTTTCCATCTCTGTGAATAAGGCAGAGGTGAGAAGAGGAGCATTTCCAGAAAGAAGAAGGTATGGCCTAGTTGCTACCATAAATTTCATCATTCTTTTCTAATACCTTCCAAAAAAGCCAGTTGGCCAGTAGACCTGACTTAAAGCTGAGGGACAAGAAGGGGCCCCACAGGCTTCTAGTCAGGTAAGATACTACAATCTGTCTAGACCAGTGATTTTCATCAGCGTGCTGTGCCACACTGGTATGCCGTGAGAGGATCCTAGGTATGCTGTGAAATTTTTTAAAGACCATTAATTAAATTATTTTTGAAAAAGTTCAAAGCACCATAAATATGTTCTATTTTTACTCTTTTTTTGATCAACATAATTTAAGTGTATCACAGAAGTTTAACTATAGGTTTGAGTGTGCCATGAAATAAAAAAGGGTGAAAAAATACTGGTCTAGATTTTCAACTTCTGCTTCAGGGTTTGAAATCCAAGCTAAATTAACCTAAGTATACACAGTTGTCCTTTGTCACTGCCCCTTATGAGTATATCTCTTTTTAAGTCTCATGGGAAAATGGCATGGCTGTGTTCAGAAAGGTATTCTGTGTCACTTGGTCAGCAATACCTACCACTGAAAACTGACTTCTGCTCATGTTAATGGTAACAGGTAATAACCAGGTTACGCACAACCCAACTTACAGCATTCTGTACCTACAAAAGGGCTTTCAAGCCTGCCCATTAGGACAATTGAGCAGTTTATAAAGGTTTACTGTCCAGTTACTGAGAACATCAGTTGCTACAAGGTCATTTACAATGAATGAAAAAGGCTGTGCAAACAACCCCAAATAATGCTTTTCAGAAAATTGACTTCAGTGGTAAGCTCCCCTCCTCCAGCAATAGAAACAAATCCAGATTCTCCAGCACCCACTCTATCCTCTCCAGATCCTCTTCTGATTAATGTTAGCCTGTATGTTTGCATCAAAAATGCCCCTTCCAGAAAGCAAGACACTGATGAAATATTAGGTGTTAATTTTTAATATATTTTTTTAAATGTCTCCTATCTCCTATCTGAATTTTTTATGTTCTATTTGTTTGAATTAAAAGAAAGAGCGTGGTAGTTTCTGTAACTTATTATTACAGTACAAGAGTATTATTATTATTGTCATATAGCACTACTGATCAGGAATCCAAATTACATACAAATCCTACCTAAAAATATTTCAGAAACATATCTCATTCATAACCTGGGGACTGCCTATACATTCCTTTCATGGTGAGTGCATTCTACACTACACTGTTACCATAGTTATATAAATAAGATATCTAACAAATCAATATTTGAAAAAGACCCCCATTTCTCTTCTGTCTCTCTCTTACACATACACACAGATTAAAGTCCCTGGAAAGGAGAAAAATACTATACTTATCAGCAATGATATGTCATTTACTCAATGAAAAAAGTAGAATAAAGCAGGGTAAGAGATTTTAGAAAAAAATAATTGCAGGCAAATTAGCATTAATAATTTGTGTTTTTGTTATCAGTTTACCATTTGCAAATTTTCAGTGCAAATTAAGACAAGAAGAAATTATCTCTAAAGTCAAGAGAGCAACATAGAAAAATCTCTCACTAGAGTCTAGACATTTAATGGAAGAATATCCTCTTACATGTAAACAATAGGTCATCAAAAAAATGGAAAATTATAATTAGCATTTGTTTATGTAGAAAAATCACAGAAATACATAACTCCTTTCAAAGAAATAGTATCAAAATTTTAAAGTTAGTTTCCTTCAAATTCATTTGTAAAATGTAACTTAGAACACTCATTCCTTAGAAATGCTAAATTAACACTATGATATAAATTATTTTTTAAAAGGCAGTATATCAAAAATGAACTATTAAATATTCAAAGAAACTATTAGTTCAAAAATGAACTAATAAATATTCAAAGAAACTAAAATAAAAATCAAACTGGACGTGTTTGTTGGGTAAAATTCCTATGTAAGTTAAATTATAAGATTGAGCTCATGACTATTTTGGGGCCATCACCATCACCACCTTAAGTGAGTCAATTTAAACTACTTATCTTAATAAAAATGTTTTACTTTAAAAACTGAGATTTATAATTTCAAGTAACAAAAAGAATTTCATTCTAACCACAGAATGAAAAAATGTGATGACCAATGCCAGATTTCTTTATAGCCATATTTAAAAAGCAGAGCTACTTACAGTGGTTTTATCAAATTCAGCCTCAGATGATGTTGGTGACAGAGGACTTACAGGGCTTAGAGATGGAGAGCTTTCAACACTGGAGACATATTCAGGATCAGGAACATATAAAACCTGTAAGAAAACATTCACATAAAGATTCAGTCAAGGCAAAGAGTTAATGATCAGATGGTGCTCTATGGGCAAGCATATCAGCAATAAATAGAAAAACTTTATTATAACAAATACAAAAGTTAAAAAAAAAGGGGGACATTTAAAATCAATTTAGACATATGTGATAATACACACTGTTGGAATAGGGTGGAGAAACAGCAATTTTTGTATATTATACATGCAGCTTATTGCTCTTAAAGGACAATTTGGCAATAGCTAGAAAATTAAAAATGTACATATCCTTTGACCCGGGCATTCACACAGTAGTTCTCAACCTTCCTAATGTCGCAATGTATTTTCATAGTTACAAAGGGGTCGCAACCCACAGGTTGAGAACCACTGCTCTACAGTGGTTCATATACACAGTATATACGATACCTGCATATAAAGAAAAGTAGGTATTTACAGGAATGTTTGCTACAGCAGTGCTAACAAAAGAGTAGAACAGGCTAAAGCTTATTGTGATTGACTAACCAACTATAACATATCAGTACAGCACAGCACCACATAAGTAAGTCTGAGATAGAGCTATTAAATTTTAACCCCTTCCCCCACCAAAAATCCAAAAGGGCTAGAATGTTTACGATCAGAAATACAAAATGATAACTGGCTGCTTCTGGGAAGGAAAGTGAAAGTTTAAAATAGTTAAAATTTTTTACTCCAATGTGAATGTACTGCTTTGATATTTAAAAACCTCTATACTTTAAAAAGTTTATAGTTATTTTTAGTATGTATTAAGAAACTCAGAGACATAAAACAAATAATTTTTGCTTATAATGCCCATATGATTTATTAAAAGCATGAATAAAATGATTCTTCTCAAATTCTCTACATTATTTACTTTGAAATGAATACTTTCTGCCTTCACTCCTGAAAGGCATCAAAACATTAATGAAAGATACTACCTGTCCAGTAACAACAGCTCGGGAGAACAACTTATTTAATTGAACAAGTTCATTGGGTGTTGTATCGAATTTCAGGGCTATGCTATTCAAAGAATCCCTTGATTCAACCTGTTTAAAAGAAAAGAAATAAATTATTTTCATGTATTAAATAAAAAACTATAAAATTCAATAAGCATTAATATTGTACATTTGAATAATAGTACTGTCATCTTGGAAGATAACTGTCAAGAAATACTGTGTTTTGCTAGCAAATCATCTCCACCTATTATGATACAGAATGTATGCTTTATCACAATATATCACAATTACATGCGGGCTTCTACTTCAAGCAATTTCAAAATACTAAATATAATTTAAAAATCAGAAAAATGATTTTTATTTTACCAAAGTTTTAAAATAATTATTGATTTGAATAGTTTCTAAAATATAAGCAACTTCTAGAAATATACTTAACTTTAATAAAGTACACCTGTATTAAATTCAAAATTCTACTTCTAAGAATATTTATTTATATATTCTGCCTTTAAACTTATTAAATCAGAAAAATATTTGAATCCAAACTGCATAAGTAGTATATCTGCATAGTCAAATGTACAAAAATTTTAAATAATGTTTTGCCAATTATCCTTTTAAAAAGTTATTTGGGCTGGGTGCAGTGGCTCATGCCTATAATAATCCTTGTACTCTGGGAGGCCAAAATGGATGAATCACCTGAGCTCAGGAGTTTGAGACCAGCCTGAGCAAGAGCAAGACCCCATCTCTACAAAAATAGAAAAACTAGCCAGGCACTGTGGTATAGTGGGTGCCTGTAGTCCCAGGTACTCAGGATGCTGAGACAAGAGGATCCCTTGAACCCAGAGTTTGAGGTTACTGTGAGCTACAATTCTGTCACCCATAGCACTCTACAAGGGTGAATTAATTAAACTGGGCCTCAAAAGAAAAAAAAGTTATTTGTTCAGTCAGTGTGTCCTTTGGACAGTCCTCTTTACACAGGCATTAAGAAAGCTCAGAATAGGGCGGTGCCTGTGGCTCAAAGGAGTAGGGCACCGGCCCCATATGCTGAAGGTGGTGGGTTCAAACCCAGTCCTGGCCAAAAACTAAAAAAAAAAAAAAAAAAAAAGAAAAGAAAAAAAGAAAGCAAGCTCAGAATACAGCTAAGGTGCAATCCCTTTAGTACACAAGGGATTTACAACTAGTTGCAAAATAAGATAGATGGAATAGATGATATAAAAGATGAAGAGTAATTTAAAATGAAACAGCAAATGCAATAGAAGTTTTGAGTAAGGATAAAACACAACATTCTCTCAACTGTTCAGGAAAGATTTCATAGAAGAGAAATGATTTAAGGCTGAATCTTGAAGTACAGAAAAGAATTTAAGAAGTAGAAAGAAGAGAACTTTCAAAATGAAGAGAACAGAAATACTATGGGTAAGGGACAGAAAAGTATAAAACACATTTGTAGGATACTGCTTTTCCTCCTAAACCATCCAGAATGTACTCTAAAACACAGAGTTTTAGGAAAGTAAGTTACTGAAGTTGAGTTAAAAAGGCATTTAGAAATGGTAAAAGTCAAAAAAAGCAGGCATTGTGCATGTGAATATGTCTGTGAGTGAAAAATAAATGTACATATTTTCTTTCATGGTTTTGTAAAATCAAATTAATGCCAAATATTTAGGTTAATAATCTAGTTCTGCTTCCTTTCTTCTATGCAAACTTTATACAATGTGCTCATACATCACCTAACTTACTGAGATAATACACATAAAAGGTTTCTGCAAACAAATACTATTTTGCAATAACATCTATAAGTTTATAAAGTACTTTCATATTTATAATCACACATTTTATCCTCATAATGATACTATTATATGGGATGAAAGAGGCACTAAAAACACTAAATAATTATAAAGCAAGAAAGTTATAAAGCCCAAGTGGCATCTTATATTACTAGCAACAGGTCTAGGATCAAGAGGACAAGAGAACAGATGCTGAAAAACCAATATAATACTTCTGCAGTTGATTAGCTTTAAAGTAATAAAAATGGCTTGGCATCATGGCTCACACCTGTACTCTCAGCACTCCAGGAGGCCTAAGAGACAGGATTGTTTTGAGGCCAGGAGTTCAAAACCAGCCGAGGCAATATAGCGAGAGCCCATCTCTACAAAACAATAAAACAAAAAATTAAACAGGCATAGTGGCGTGCTTCTGTAGTCCCAGCTACTCAGAAGGCTGAGTTGGGCGGATCACTTCAGCCCAGGAAGCTATGGTGAGCTATGATGATGCACTTCAACCTGGGCCAGAGTGCAAAACACTAAGAGGCAGTTAGCTAGATTTGAGCAGGGTGGATGACAGATACGGTTAGGCTATTTTGGTTTAGTCTGGGTCAGGCTGAATAAGGGAAGATATACAGGGAAGAGGCTGATTAAGGCCTCATAGGTGGTTTGTTAGCAAGATCTTATTAATAAACTTTCTTTTTCTTGCTAAAACTTTACTCTCTTTTCAATTATTTCAGTGGCTACCTCTAGCCACCGTGCTCACTAACAGTTCACTAAAGAAAGAGATTAAGGTATAAAATTTTCAATTAAGACTCAAAGAAAGGATTCATGGATTGAATGGAGTTATGGTGACAGTAGCAACAGGTCCGCAAAGCAAATGTGAATGAGGCGACTGCCTCCAAGAATTGTAACCTGGGTGAATAAAAGACTGAAAGGAAATGGAAATAAGAAAATCTGGCATCGTGTAAGGAAAGGGTAAGAAAAGTTGGTGAGAGGTTTGCTAATAATCTGTTACATACAAAGTGACAGAAGGAAGTCCAAGCAGGGACAAAGGTAGGAACAGACAGAAAGTCTGGGGCTCACTCTCTGTAGACTGTCAAGTTCTCAAGTTGTCCAAGTGAGAGAATGTCAATGGAAAAGTGAAAATAAACAAGGGACCACTTACATTTGAATCAAGAAAAAATAAACAGCCAGTCAAGTAAATGAAAGATACAGTCAAAATAGTAGCAATAGCAGGGCAACGAAGCATAATGATGACAAAGTGTAGTACAATTATTATAGTTTCAAGCATTAGGGTTCTAAAAAAAAAAGAAAATAGAGGAGGAAGAAAAATATCTGTTGATTAAAAATATCTGGTTGATGATTCTCCAAATTTATGAATGACATGATTCTTTAGACTGAAGAAAGACAGTAAGATAAATATTAAAAATATGTCTACATCTAGCCTTATAGTGGCACTGCACAAGATGCTTTAAAAGCAACCTAAAAAAAGAATGCCTAGAAATGAACAAAAATAAAAAGGCAACAGAAGAACATAAATAGATGACTATCTTCAAAGTACGGGCAGAAAATAACTGTCAACCTAGAAATCTATAGACAGCTGAACTATCAGGAATGAAAGTGCAATGAAGATTGTTGAGACAGTATGATTTTCCAGTCACAGAACTTCACTGAAATAACTATTATAGGACCTCAAGAAGAAAAGTAAAACCAGAAAGAAGGAAGGAGCAGGCAGCAACAAAAACAAGTCTACTGGGTTGAACAATCTGAACATTACTAGTGACACGAGAGAAGGCTCTTTTAGTAGAAAGGTACAGAGATGTTAAATTAACAACAAAGAAAATGAGACCTTTTTTAAGGTATGCGTTTGACTACAACTGACAGTAATTGTACTCTGATTTTACATATAAAACAGTGTGCACAGTATAGTATACATGCATATGTATGATTTTCACTTTAGCCTACCTAAAGTACAATGATTAATTTTACTTAGTCTATACTCGTATTTAGGTCACCTGGAAATATATTTAACCTAGACATAAGTATTTTAGAAAAAAACAAATTTAGAGAATATATTGTAATATAAAACTTTAATTTTTAAAGAAAAATATATACTTTCCCAAATACAAAAATCATTTTATATAAATATTTTATATGAAGATGCTATATGGGCTTGGCGCCTGTAGCACAGTGGTTATAGCGCGGGCACATGTACTGAAGCTGGTAGGTTCAAACCCAGCCCGGGCCAGCTAAACAACAATTGTAACTGTAACAAAAAAATAGCCAGGCATTGTGGCAGGTGCCTATAGTCCCAACTACTTGGGTGGCTGAGGCAAGAGAATCGCTTAAGCCCAGGAATTGGAGCTTGCTGTGAGCTGTGACACCACAGCTTGAGACTCTGTCTCAAAATAAATAAATAAAAATAAATAAAAAATAAAAAGATGCTATATGAAGATTTTATAGATTTCATATATTTTAAAGATTATAGTAAGAAGAGACAAAACTTAGTTTTAAAAATATGTTTGTTTCTTTTAAAATTTGGCATACGACATAAAGGATTAAAAATAAAAAAAATTCTAAACAAGAACTGCTGAGAGAATGTTTTATAACTTTCCTAATCAATATTTATTTTTCCAAAGGTCATTTATAACATCAGGGGAAAAAATTTAAGTTTCAATTAACCTTCTGAAAAAATAATGGTTATTAATTTAAATTTAACTTTGCTATAGATAACACAAGTTTTATTGAATTATAAGAATGTAAACTCTGAAAAACTTAACAAATTTTTTTCATAATCACATGACAATTGCAGTGGACATATCTTGACTTATCCCTATAATCTTATGCCTTATTAATAAACACTAATGGAAATATCAAATTACATTACTCAACATTTTACTATTTTCTCAATTTCTCAATTATGCAGAAAAAGTACAAATACATGCAATTTTAGTTTACAATGTTATGAGATTCTTTTGATAGTTATAAATTTAATTCTACCCTAAATTATCTAGTCCTAACCGTTTAGAAATAATTAAAATCTCAAACTGTTCATTACACAGTACATGGAAATAGCATATCACTTGAAATTTTGATAATCTGTTCAATTTTAAGGATTCATGGAAAATAACCAAGATTCAAACCATGACTATAAGGTTTTGTAATGATACAAATTAATGTTTAAAATTGCTATTTTCTTCTTAAACAGTTAAGATATATTAGAGAAACACAAAATAATAAAAAAAATTAACCTCAGCTAAAATTGTTTTATAACAAGTTCACATTATCTAAATAAACATTTACATTCAATCGAATAAGCAGCATACCACACGCCAGTTAATTTCTCATTTCAGAGTAACCAGAAATGTGAAAAGCTAACTGATTGCAAGGAGATTTAAGGGTCATTTAAAGCACACAGAAAGAAAAGTCCATTTTCACAGCTAAAAAATCTTAGCTATAAATGAATGTAAATGATCTAATGAGAGGTTATTCTGGAAGATTACTATCAACTTATCTTTTAAGTATTCCACCTAACATTATCATGAGCACTACTGGAAATCTAATGTGAAGATCATATTTAAAAGAAATATTTTCCTAAAAGCTTACACTAATATAAATTATTGCACCATAGAAACTTTGACTTCCAATAAATTACCTGTATTTTGCTAGAATGTGAAAATATTTGCTACCTTTGTATCTCAGTAAAATTTCTCAAGGAAAAAGATCCTAAAATGCAGTTAAGAATTTGAGTATTATAATAAAACAGTTACTCAAAGAGAAATACAGATTTTTTAAAATAAGGCAATTAACAATCTTTGCCTCATTTACAGTATAAAGAGTCTTAAGTATAATAGTCTTCAGACTATTATAAAGATAAATTGCTTTTTCAAAAGCAAATAACTTACAGTATATTCAATAGTCCCTTTAGGTTTCTGAAAAGACATTCGTCTCCCATCCTTCTTGTCTAGGGTCTTCTTTTGGCCAGTGTCTAAAAACAAAAACAAAAACAAAAAAATGAGGCCAAAATTATTAAATTTATTTTCCTGTCAGTGTAATGTCGGAGACTGCTGAATAAAGCATATCAGGCTGATGTCTAATTCACTAGTAATATAAATTACTCCCTGGGATTCTCTGCTCTAAAAACACAATCAGCTGTCAAAAAAAGGAATTGTTACTTCCTCCCTGCTTGCTTTAGAAACTGACCAATATGAACCACTATTAACAAGGGGAAGTCAATTCAAAACATAAGTAACTGTCAACAGAAAGGAAGTTATTAAAAAGTAAATTATGGGACCACTTTTTTCAACATAATCTGATTATAATACATTTGAACATATAAATCTTTAAAATACATATTTCAAGATATGCTTTACTATTACTATACCAAGTCTGAAATACGTTAACTCTAGTCCTCAGGAGAAAATTTCTCTACTTCTACAAGTCATAATTAAACAGTCTTCTCTGTGGAATTATATTAACTTCCTTATTCACATACCATGAAGTACATTAAAGAATGCTTTCACATGTAAACATGTTTTTGAACATTTACTTTCAGATTAAGTTGTCACTTATATTTTATTTGCTTACAAGATATTTCACTTAAACATTTTATTATCATCAATATTAAGGTACCTGTTTTCCATGTAAGTTTGCTTTACTGTTAACCTTCTCATCCATACTACATCTAACAACAGTTGCACCAAATTGATAAAATACCACTACTACCTAAAAATTTAAAAATGATTAAAATGAAAATCTCTAAAAAACTAACTAAAAACCCTAAATAAACATAGCTATATTCCCAAGATTAAAAAATATATATTATCAAAGAAAAAATAGTTTCCCCTATGCCCAAATATTATAGAAAACATCTATTTCATTGTTCTCCCTCTATTTAAACTTAACTGGCATTTTGACTCCATGAGAATTTGTAATTTATAAGGTACTTAACTTAGCTCAATGGTAGGCAAATGACTTAATGAAGTATAAATAATACTAATAACATCTGTATCTGAAAAAAGCCAGTTAGCTCTGCAACACTTTAAAAAGTGTCCTAAAACCTTCCCGAGCACCCAGATAAACTCAAGCATCTGTTATTAATCACACCAGCATCTTTATATCTCCTTCATTAGCATCTGGCACAGTTTTAAGTTAATTATCTCAGTGTTTTCTTTAATCTTTTCCATTGCACTGTCATCTGCAAAACTATGTTTTGTTCCACAATTCCTTCTCAGTGCCTAACAAAGTCCTGACACGATAAGCAACTAATTTGAATGAAGTAATGTTAAAAGCGACAGTCTGAACTGTACCTAGAGCTACTACAATTCTTATAAACTGTCATTAATTTTTCATAAAGCAAAGTAAACAAAGAAGTATGGTTCATCCATTATAACTCTAGGAATAAGTGTGTGTATATATACAAAGTTTTGGGACAGACTGTGTTATGGGCCATTATTTCACTTCCAAGAAACACAGTAAACAGTGTCCTTTCTGATTCACCCGTGAAGTTTCAATTTGCATGGCTTATCAGTGTTGTTGGGAGGGCTTCATTTGGTTCCATCCATCCAGATTTTACACTTCTAGATTTTGTGTAACTCAAATCTTTTGTGGTGAGCCACATATACAGTAGAACCTCTGCAAGTTAACCACCCAAAGGTCTATAACAAATTGGTCAACATATGGAGGAACGAGGTCTCCTGTAGTGACATGTACATGTGATGCAAGTCCAGTCTATGTAACTTAGGTCAACTTAAGGAGGTGGTCAATGTTGTCAGCTATGGATGCTCTACTATCTATCTGTCTGTCTATCTACACACACATCCTACTTCAGTATCCTAAATATTTAAGGAACTCTTAAAAACTGAAGACAAAAGAAGAAAAGCTCAGATGAAAATATGAGCAAAAGATGTAATCAGAAATTCACAACTGGATATAAAAATGATTCCCAAATATATAAAAAGATGCTGAATTTCACGCATAATCAGAGAAATGCAAATTTAAACTACCCATTTCTCACCTATCAGATTGGTAAAAATTCGTAAGCTTGATCGGATACTGTTTGGCTTTCGTAAGCAGGTATGCTTAGTTTATATTCCTGGCAGGAATGCAATACATTAAAATTCTTATATGAATTATTTTTACTTAGCAGAATATTCTAATTTTTATACATTGAACAGCTTACATTTAAATTTGCTTCTCTAATGAGAAAATAAAACACTGAAACTATGTTAAGATAAAATAAGTTTCAAATAACTTTTCATGAATGGCAGAGAGCCAAAAACACTTTCCTCATTTTGCAATTTAAAATAAGCAATACAAAATGCTATTACAGATTATTTTTAACTATTAATCAGCTCTTCCTTAAGTGGTGTTAAGAATGACTGTTAGGGCATTGCCTGTGGCTCAAAGTAGTAGGGCACTGGCTCCATATGCTGGAGATGGTGGGTTCAAACCCAGCCCCGGCCAAAAACTGCAAAAAAAAAAAGACTTAATCTATATTCACTTTTCTAACAGTTTTTCAATCTGCTTCATAATATTCCAAAAGTTCATTAAACATTTAATCACAAGGAAGGGTGCAATTGCTCTAACATTTTCAAGAGCTCACCATGGAAGAGAGTTCAAGACAAAAAAATTAATACACCAACTTTCGAGAATTCAAAGTTTTTAAAACAAAGTGAAAACATTCATCTTAATTTAAAATTATAAAATATTTTGTAATTATCCACTATAAAATTATTTCTAAATCTTAATAATTGATATTAAAACAGTTATTCACAATTATGTAAGAACACAGTGAAATAAACTATTTTATTCTATCAACATGAAAATACAACCAAATAAATCACACAAACACAATTGTTAGTCTAGCTGCTTAATGGGCAACTTTAGAATAACTTTTAAAGACAGCTGTTAGGAAATATGAATCTAATTTGGGAGCACAAAGAGGAAGAGCCCTATTTTCCTCACAAGTGCAGTTTAGAAACACACACTTACTTGTGGCTCATTTCATAATAAGAGTAATAGTTAACATTTATCAAGTACCTAGTTTGTGCTAAACAGTGTTCATGCATATTCTTTCATCTGTTTAACTGACCCTATAAAGATGGTATTATTATTATTCCCATTTTACAACTGAGGAAACTGAGGCATAGAGAAATGTAATAGCAATCATACAATTAAGAAAATAATTCCACTGATGGAATTCAAATTTGGCCATATATTCAATTATAAAACCTGCACTCATAACTACTATGCTGTTTGAAACTACTTACTAGAATATTGGCTTCATTAAGGGCAAAGGTGATGTTAGTCACCACTATAGTTTATGCGTGGTTCACAACCACAGCCATATTTTATACCCTTTGGTAGCTATTTAGCAATGCCTAGAGATATTTTCAGTTATCAAATCAGAGGCATGTTACCAGCATCTACTGGGAAGAAGCCAGGATGCTGCTAAACGTCCTACAATGCACACGACAGTCCTTTACCCCAAAGAGTTAATCATCTTCCCCCAAATGTCAGCAAAGTTTTATGCATGCCATAGAGAATGTGCTCAATATTAGACAGAGAGATGAATGAGATTTGCCCTGAGATATAATCATCCTGGCACAGTCGAAAGAACAAGAAAAGTTAGATTTTTCTCTAGAAGCAGAAACTTAACATACGAATTATAAAGCACTAGTTTCCATCTCAGCTTCCTGAGAGTTTTGATATGTTGTATTCATTTATCCCCAAATATAGTGTGACTTGTACTTTAACATCTTCAGTGCATGTGCTACTCAGAGAATACTGCCTTATTTGCCAACAAATGACAATTTAAAAAACTAAAATACATAAAATGTCGTAACTGTACGGAAATTCAAACCTATTGAAATCTGTTCCAACTTGTTTTATGATGTGTAAATTTAGTAAATGCTCCATATGTACTTGAAAAGAACGCATATTCTGCACAGTAGGGTGCAGAGTTTTATATGTGTGTATGCTTATATGTGGGGTCAAGTTTGCTGACTGTGTTGTTCAAATTGTGTATAACTGTACTGATTTGCTTTTGTCTGCTTATTCTGTAAATTATTGATAAAGGCAGTTACTACATTCCACTATGATTTGGTCCTTGGAGGTTTCTCTGCTTTCTATTTGTTGAGAACAAGTTGTTCGGTTCACATAACCTGAATCTCACATAAACGGAATTCTGTCTCCCTGGTAAACGGAACCTCTTCTCAGAATACTTTCTGCCTAGGAGATGCTGTGCCTAATGTTAATATACCAACTTCCCCCACTAGTGTTTGCTTTCTCTTTCTACTCTCAACCTTTCTGTATCCTTATGCTCTTGGTATGTCCTTTTTATTGCTTATTTGTCTGTTCTAATTATCGGTCATCTTTTCTCCTTTCTTGCCTTCTTTGGATTGTGTATTATTTATTGACTTTTGTTTTCCTCCCGTTAATTTGGAGGTTATACATTTGACTTAACACACGTTAGTATGAACTGGCATTTTTATCCTCTTCTGGGACATGCCAGGCTGCTCAGCACTGCGTGTGCCACTCCTAATACATACCAGTTGCCTTCTACTTTAATTCTAGTTATCTCATGGCATGTGTATAAACACCATGAGACATTATTATCTTTTTAGACAGTCAAATTCATTTAGTTTTGCTCTCATTTTATCTTTGGGCAATTGCACAGGTCACAGAACTCTAGTTTGGCAGCTATTTTCTTTTAACACTTTAAAGATTTAAATTTCCAGTGTTTTATTTTCCACTGTTTAACCCTAACATCACATCACTGAGTAATAGGAATATTCCTTTTGATTGCTGTTAAGATTTTTTTTTTTTTTTTTTTTTTTTTTTTTCGGCGCCTATAGCTCACCCGGCTAAGGCGCCAGCCACGTACACCTAAGGTGGCGGGTTCGTATCCCCAGCCCGGACCCGCCAAACAACAATGACGGCTGCAACCAAAAAATAGCCGGGCGTTGTGGCGGGCGCCTGTGGTCC